AGAAAATTTTTGTTTTAAAAATGAATATTCTATCTCCTGTTTAAATTTGTAACAATAAAAAGTATTAAAAAATTATTTTATTTTTTGTTACTTTTGTTAGTTAATTTGTATTTTTTTATGTTTAATAGGATCTCTTATTTCAATTTAAAATAAAAACGTGTACTTAGAGATTTTTGCTTTTTAATCCGCCTTCTTTCATTTCATTTTCATGGACCAACAAGAAACCCCCCCCTCCAAAATAAAATCCTGGTTACGGCCCTGACCACATTCCTTGCGTATATAATTCTTGTCGTTGATTGATCCCCACTGTCAACCACAAGCAATAAAGCGAGAAATATTGGTGGAAAACTGTCAACTAATTCCACAAATTGCCTCGAAAATTAAAAAAATAAATAAAAACGTGGTTTCCCTCAGCGCGCTATTCCCGGCCCTGTGTTGTTCATTTTCGACAAATCTCTGGTCGCAAGTGTGGCACTTCAAAGTATCTTTGAAGTTTGAGTGAAAATCGAATTTTTGACGAAAAACAACATCGTAAATCCATGCCTGGTAAAAATGGATCAGTCACGAAGGCACGTTTGGGAACATTGTGTGCAAAAACTGTTTTCTCCTAAGGCACGTACTCGTAAAAATAGCGCAAAATGGCGTCCAACATGGCGTCGATAAATCACGAAAGGTCGAATAATCCGTCTAATTATTCAGAGGTGTGTTTGCCACGTTGTCGCGGATTTGCAATCTCGCGAAATTAATTCGCATCAAGTTATATTTAGTTGGCACCCATTTGTAACAATAATTCATGTCTTTATGGGTTTGCGTAATTCATCTCGGGGTTATAAATAGAGCGTAGGTGGCGAGGATGGACCAATGGTACACGACCGCGAATGACCCATTTATTTGCATCCAGCACTCCCATCGGGAGGAAGCGAATATGTATCGAAGGTGTGCAAAGGAAGTCGGGTTTCCTTCAACAAACTTTTTATTACAAGAGCAGACGCTGGAACCAAATTTGTACAAACACTCATTCTGGCGCAGGAAAGACAACATTGGAAAAGAGAAACGAATATTTCTGCGAAATGATTAGATAAGAGGAAAATCTAAATTGTTACTTCAGGATTAAGGTCTAGGCACCTACAAAAATTATAAAAAAAGCGGTCAAAAGGGAATGAAACAATGGAAAAAAACCCACAATCCTTTAAAATATAATAATTAATTTAACATATTTTACAATTTTTAATAATTTTGGCAAAACAAATTTTGCCACGTTCTCGCTGAAAAACGCTCTCAATTTCACAGAAAATAACTCATTTCAGATTCAGACTTTTTTACGATTTCTCTGCCTTGTGTTGGCAAAATTTCTAAAATTTTAAGATTTCCTCTAAAAAGCTATTTTAATTAACATATTACAATAAGCACAAATGATGTATTTCAGATTTAATTTTACAGACATTGGACATAATTTGGTGATTTTTTCCTTTGCTTTAGTAAAATCTTTCTAGTTTTTTTTTTGTTTTAAATTTGTTAAAAATGTATAAAATTACGCCTTTTTGGATATAATTTTACATTTTTTGTTTACGCAAAATCATAGGACGGTTATGCGCTTGTTTTTGCTCAAAAAAGATCCTAAATTGATAGAAAATAAACTTAATTTAGGTAGTCTTTTTCTATAATCTTTGGTTATTTCCGTGAAGTAGAGAAAGTTCACTTCAGATAAAATTTAAAATTTTATAAACTTAATTCTTCAGCAATTTATTGTTTATTTCTGATTTATGGCTCTTGATACGATTAAAGAGAGGATTAGGTAAGGCTTTTTAAGAGAAGAAACTCTAGATTACGAGTGCCATGTTTACAGCGTGCAAACAAGTCACCAACAGCCAATTGCGGTTTATTTTTTAATAAATATTTTTTTATGTACATTTGTTTTGTATTATACGATTTCATGTATTGATAAGTTTTAATAAATAACAAAAAATAGAAGTTTGAATGTGTTTTTTGATTACTTTTTCTGAAAAAAGTAAACTATTTTTTAGCTGTGTTACAGTTTTTTGTAATAATATTAATGCCATCTATACGTACAACTTCTAAATAAAAAATACACTAGCAACCTGTAAAGACAATAAAAACATTGTATTGTCATCTTTACAACACAACTTTACATAAATACCTGCAAAAAAAAGCACAATTTCATAAGTGAGCAAAAAATGCTTTATGGTCACAAAAAATTGCTCGTGGTTACAGATAATTGAACAAAAAAATCTCTTGCGGTCATGAAAAAACAGCTCGCTGAAACTAAAAATACAAAAAATGGCTTGTGGCTAGAAAAAAATGAGCAATAAATTGGCTACCGGCGTTTTTGATCTTTATTAAAAAATTGTTAGGTATAAGGAGTTACCATTGGATTTTCAAAAATATTGTAAAATTTTTGTACTCAGTAAAAAAAATCGGTACAGTTGGAGACAAAATACTTTGGTCGGCAATGTTACTTGAGTGACAATAAGTTGTAAAGCATGCTTTAGGACAGTTAAGTCTTAACCTTCTTATTTTTAACTACTGTCAATCATAGTTGACAAGTTGTACATATTTTTGATAGAAAGATATCATAGATATAAAGTGCCGACCAAAGAATTTTGTTTCCAACTGTACTGGTCACAAAAATTACTTATTGACACAAAAAATAAAATTAAGCAAAATATCTATATTATTGTCCGTAACCGGTGAGAGGTCTGCTTTCGTCAAAATTTAAATTTTTGACGATCACATTAATTTAGCAGATGTGTATTGTTGGTTGCTGCCGAACGTTTAAAAATATTAATAATTATTGTAAAAAAAAATTAAGTAAATAAATTAAATTTGTTTTTTAAATTAAGAAATAATTAACAAAACAAATAATTGTATTAGAATTGGCTAAAAAATACAATTACATTATTATTTAGTGAGTAAATATTTACAGGAAACTGTAGTATTTGGTTTACCGACTCGATAAGTGCTTTGTTACAGTTCCGTGTTTGCGAGGCGTCGCTGCGCTCGAATCGACAAAATCGTGCATTTATCAGTGTGGAAGCCATTTTTGTGTCGGATAAATTGGGCTAAAACGAAAACAAATCAGGTATAATATCGTAGGAATAGTTAGTTGTAAGTTCGTTACATCTGTGGGCAATGTCTCTGGTAGTTTTGCACTGGAGTCGTTCTCTAGTATTTAGGCAGTCCCTCGTTCGGGGCAACGTCATGTTGTCCATGATTACCTAACACTTAATCGTGGAAAAATCGTCCGGCCAAAGCCCCACACTCTAGGTACAAAATAATTTGAGCCTCTCCTGACAGTTTTGAAGATTGAATGTCCATCTCGGCTGCATTTAACTATACCTGCAAGTTCTCTTGTAGGTGACAGCAATAGCGAACCATGAATCCGTCGTCGGTGGGAATCTGGTGCAATCCACCACCCCCAGGCACCGACGAGGACCTGTCCAATAGCTCGGCCAAAGAGAGCCCCGAGCGGGCCATAGACCGAATCGACCCGTTCCTAAAGAGCGCCGAGTACATAAAGTACGAGCGCCGGCGGCGGTCCC